ATCTCCAAAAGATCTTGTGCCTTTGGGTTATTTCCTCAAGATCCAAAGCCCTAGAAGTCTTTAATTAATCTCACTTAAATTAGGAGCTGCCCTTAAACTGCTAGGGGCTAGAAATGGAGGGATTTCAGACAGTCAGAAATGACAAATACTGCTGAATATGGTGGCACATACCTGTAATCCCCTGTAATCGCAGCTGCTTGGCCACTGAGACAGGAGGATCACAAGTTCAAAGTCAGTCTCAGTAAATTAACAAGGCCCTGAACAAGACCCTGTCTCAAAATAAAAAAAAAAAAAAGGACTGGAGATGTGGCTCAGTGGTTAAGTATTCCTGGGTTCTGTCCCGGGGTTCAATCCTTGGTACCCTGCCCACTGGCCACCCCCCCCCCCCCCAAAAAAAGATAATAGCTAAGTCCAAAGTTTAAAATTAAGTGAATTGGAATTTTAAGAAATAATGTCCTACTGGGTGTGGTGGTGCATGCCTGTAATCCTAGGACTTGGGAAGTGGAGGCAGGAGAATCACAAGTTCAAGGCCAATCTTAGCATCTTATGAGACCCTCAACTACTTAGTGATACTCCCTCCCCCCCAAAACAAAACAAAACAAAACACAACAACAGAGGTATAGCTCAGTGGTAATGCACCCCTGTGTTCAATTTCCAGTACTAAAAGGAAAGAAAGAAAGAAGAAAAGAAATGGACTCAGCATTACTTTGGATTGCTCTAAGTTTTAATCTTGGATTGTCAGTAATTTTTGGCTTTTAAAGCAATTTATTACAGGCATCGTGTGCATGCTTGTAATCCCAGCTGCTTGGGAGACTGAGGCAAGAGGATTGTGAGTTTGAGGCCACTGTGGGCAACATAGTGAGACCCCGCCTCAAAGTCCCCCCCAAACTATATTAATGTAATTTTTATTAGTGAGATCTACTTCTGTCTTTTCTTCATTTACTTAATTTATTCAGTAAGCATTTGTTGAGTGTTTATTATTTACAAAAGAGATGCTAGGAGCTGGAACTACAGTTAGGAAAAAGATTCCTTACCCTTAGGAAATTCATAGTTTTACCAATAAGATGATATAAAGATAGATTAACTATAGTGCAATGTGATATTGTCTCTATAGGGGAATAAAAAGTAAATGTATATGGGGCTGGGGTTGTGAGTCAGTGGTAGAGCGCTTGCCTGGCATTTTTGAGGCACTGGGTTGGATCCTCAGCGCTTTATAAAAATAAATAAAATGAAGGCTTTAAAAACAAAAGTAAATTTATATGGTTAATTCTGCCTTAAAATTACCCTTCAGCCTTGTTTCATTTGATACTTGGGAGAGGAATGAAAGGTCATTTCAGTGTATCAGTGTTTGAGGTCTTCCTCAGTCTGAATCACACCAATTTTTCTTTCCTGTCTGTGATTTACGCAAAATACTAGCCAAACTTTTTTAAAAGAAATTATTATTATAGGGCTGGGGATGTGGCTCAAGCGGTAGCGCTCGCCTGGCATGCATGCAGCCCAGGTTCGATCCTCAGCACCACATACAAACAAAGATGTTGTGTCTGCCGAAAACTAAAAAATAAATATTAAAAAATTCTCTCTTAAAAAATTATTATTATAAAGTGTCTTAGATACATTAAAAAGTGTTAAAAAATAAAACAAATGTTACATTTAAGAAACAAAATATCATAGATACCACAAATTTTCTTCTGTACTTTTTTCTAACATACTCTCCTTTTTCCGCAAGATGTAACCATTGTCTTAGTTTGCTGTGTGTCATCCCCGTCTTTGTCCTTATGTGTCTTTGTCCTTATGTGTATATATTGTACATGTGTATATGCCTCTAGGGAAATACGGTGATTCATAGCATGATATCTGGTACTCTTGCGTATATTTTAGAAATGTAAGCAGTCCTGAACAAAATACTGACAAACCAAGCCTCGTAACATATAAAAAGGATTGTATTCATGAACAAGTGGGATTTATCCAAGCAAAGAAGAAAGGACAAAAGCCACATGGTCATCTGAATAGATGTAGCAAAAGCATTTGACAAATCCAACCTCACTTCAGATTTAAAAAAACAGAATCCCTTTTCATCCTGGGAATAGAAGGGAGTATCCTCAAACTGATAAAGGGCATCAGTAAAAACTAGCCAGCAGCAAGTTGATGGTGAGAAGGTCGGGAACAAGACCTGTGCTAGCCCTTCTTCTCAACAGAGTGCTACAGGCTGTAGCCACGGGAATTAGGCAAGAGAAGGAGAAAGCAGGCATCCCGACTGGAAAGGAAACACTAAAACTATTTGCAGCTTATATTATATTTAAAAAAATGTTTTTACTTTTTTTTCTTATGTGATTTTATGTGTAGAAAATACTAAAGAATCCACAAAAAACTGTTAAAGTTAATAATCTAGACAGCTAATAAGTTAGCAGGATATAAGATCTGTATACAAAAATCACATTTAAAAATATATATTTTTTAGTTGTAGTTGGATACATACCTTTATTTTATTTATCCATTTTTATGTGGTGCTGAGGATCGAACCCATCACCTCACACATGCTAGGTGAGCTCTGTACCGCCAAGCCACAACTCTAGCTCCCCCAAATCACATTTTTATACATTGTTCAGAGGAGCAATCTGAAAGTGAAAGTAAGAAAATTCCATTTACAACAGTATCAAAAAGAAAATATTTAGGAATAAACTTAACAAAAGAAACATAAGGCTTTTACAATGAAAACTATAAAACATCCTTGGAAGAAATTTTATAAAGACATAAAATAGATTGGTCACAGTGGTGTACACCTATAATCCCATTTGCTCTGGAGGCTAGGGCAGAAGGATTGGTTGAGCCGAGGAGTTCAAGGCCCGCGTGGGCAATATAGCAAGACCCTTCTCAAAAAGAAAAAGAAAAAAACATGAATAAGTGGAAAGACAGCCTGTATTCATGGATATTATTAAGATGGAATTACTATCCCAAATCAGTCTACATGTTCAGTATAGTTCTTATCAAAATCGTAGTTGGCTATTTTACAGAAATTGGCAAGCCAGTTATACTCATGGAAATGAAAGGGACTCAGAATAACTTAAACACTTTTGAAGGAGAAGAGCAGAATTTGGGGGACTCACTCTCCTGGCTTCAAAACTTCAGAGCTACCACAATGAAGACACTGTGGTACTGGTATTAGGATAGACATGTAGAGTGTTGGAATAAAATTGAAAGTTCAGAAATGAACCTTTATATTTTTGGTCAGTTGGTTCAACAAGGGTATCAAGACAGGTCAATGGGGAAAGAAGTAGGGCTGGGCTAACTGAAGAGGCATATGCAAGAAAATGAACTTAGACCCCTGCCTTATGCCGTACACAAAAATTAAATGGGTCGAATACCATAATGTAAGCTAAAACTTTAAAACTCTTAGATGAAAATTTAGGCATCAGTCTTTGTGATGTTGGAGTAGGCAGTGATTTCTTAGATGTAATGCCAAAACATTAGTAATCAAAGAAAAAACAAGTTAGACTTCATAAAAATTAAAAACCTTTATCATCAAAAGATACAAGAAAGTTAAGGTGATCCACAGAAAGAAAGAAAATATTTATATTTTCTTTATTCTGATAAGGTATTAGTGTCCACCTGTAAGCCAAGTGGTTTGAGAGTCTGAGGCAGGAAGTTTGCAAGTTCGTTAGCCTCAGCAACCTAGTGAGGCCTGTCTCAAAAAATAAAAAGGTACCCCCCCCCCCAAAAAAAAAAGACAATCTGATAAAATAGAGAATTTCAATAGAGGTATTTCTCCATGGAATGCACAAGTGGCCAGTGAGCTTATGAAAAGGTAACCAACATCATTAGTCATTAGCAATTGTATCAGTTCAAACCACACTGAGATATCACTTCATGCCCACTAGTATGGCTGGAATAAAAAAAAAAAAAAAAAAGGATGATAATAAAATTGGCAAGGGTGTGGAGCAGTTGGGATCTTCATACAACAGTGGTAGGAATCTAAAGTGGTGCATCTGCTGTGGAAATAGTTTGGCAGCTCCTCAAAAAGTGAAGCATTGAGTTACCATGACTTAGCACATTCACGCCTAGGAATCTTCCCAAGAGAATTAAAAACATGTTGATACAAAAACTTAAATGTTCTTAGCAGCATTATTTGTAATAGCCAGAAAGTAGAAACCAAGTTTCTATTACCTGATAAACAAAAGGTGATATATTCCTATGATGGAACATTATTTAATCATAAAAAGAATAAAGTACACTTTCATGGATGAAACTTGAAAATATGCCAAGAGAAAGAAGCCAGATACAAAAAAACATTATTATGTGACTCCATTTATTTGAAATGCCCAGAATAAGCAAATTCGTACAGAAAGTGAAGGGAGGCAGGAATGGGAAGGGACTGGTGATGGTGTAGTTTCTTTTGGTTGATGGAAATGTTCTGCACTTAGATAGTGGTGATGCCTTTTGTAAAGGTCCCAAATGACATTTCACAATCATGGACTTTATTTATTTAGTTAGTTTGTACTGGGGACTGAGCCTGTGGGCACTTAACCACTGAGCCACATCACATTTTTTTGGGGGGGGCGGGGGACAAGCTCTAAGGTGCTGAGAATCTTGTGAAGTTTCTGGGGCTGGCCTTGAACTTACAATCCTCCTGCCTCAACCTCCCAAGTCACTGGGATTATAGTGAGTGCCACCACTCCCAGCTGTAGTCAAAGACTTTAATAGCGGATGTTGAAGGTTAATAATGTACTGGGTCTTAAGCACTTTATATATAAATTTGTTGATAATCTTTATTCCCAATCTTGAGATAGGTACTATTCTTCCCATTTTATATATGTAGAAGTGGGTACTGATTAAATACTATGTTGTTTGGGTTAATGAGTGTCATCCAGCACAGGAACTGAGTTTTTATTCACCACACTATACTGTGTTAAACCCACACCATTCCTTTGCAGGTCTCTGTGTGGACATTTCATTTCACAGGGCTGACTGACCACCTGCACCGGATCTGTTTTTGTTTTTTGCAGATCCATTAATGAAATGAAACGGTTGGAGGAAGTCTCAAATATATTTCAGAGCTCAGGAGTCGAGCGCCACCCTCCAGAATCAAAATCCCAAACAGAAGGGAATGAAGAGTTGAAGGACAAGGAACAGCCGTGGGAGATGGTGATGGATAAGAAGCACTTCAAACTGTGGCGGCGCCCAATTGAAGGCAGCCATCTTTACCAGTACCGAGGTGAGCTGGGCGTGCTGCCTTTGAAATGTGTGCCTGGGTGCCCAGGTGCTTGGGACTTGGGGCCTCATGTTTTTCTAAACTATTCTGTTCTGGTGGTTTCTCAGGAAATTTACCATGGCTTTCTGTTGGTAGTTTTCCTCTCCCGGTGTCTTCCTTGACACATGGCATCTTTGGCTTTGCTGCCCCTGCCTTGCTTCTGCTTTCTGAAGCTGCCTTCAGGAGCTCTCAGTACTCTAGAATTGAAATGCCGGTAGTGATAGGAATGGGGCCAGGAGCTCAGCAAGCATCCTTTATTCTTTCTTGTCATTTTAGTTTTTGGAACCTACACAGATGTGACACCCCGGCAGTTCTTCAATGTTCAGGTGAGTTAATTTTTTGCTGTGGATTTCAGAGCTTCCTAACAAGCTATTTACTACTGTCCACATGAATGATTTCTTTGATTTGATCATGTTGGATTTGGGGTATCCATATGTGTCTGTGCTTCTTGTTCCTTGGCATGTAGCATCTGGGGGAACATTTGACTTGTAATTTCTCTATCTGTCCTGTGAGGGTGGGACTGATTTTTGCCTACAGCCCACCCACCCTCAGACTGTTTGAGAAGATCAAATAGAAGGGTTGATTAAGATACTCTAATATTTCACAAGCCTTTATTGTTTTTTTCCTAAACATTTTGAGGGCAAATTAAACATATCATGGTCCTCTGTCCCTAAATTCTTTAGTGAGTATTTCCTGAAACTAGGCATATTCTTCTAACTAACCATGTCAGTAAATTCAGCATTGGTGCAGCACAGTTCAATGTAATCTGTGTTTGTATTTTGGTTTTATCAGTTGACCCAATCATGTCCATTCAGTATAGATCCAGTTAGGATTCCATTTAGTTGTTAGGTGTCTTTAACTTACTTTAATCTGAAGTAGTCTCGTGAATATATTTACTTAATAAAAATAAAGAATATGTTCAAGGACTGCTTTTATCCTTGGGTGTTCAAACAACAGAGTTCTACATAGGTATTTTCACTTGTTTTGCCAGACCAGTTGCTAGTTTGTTGATTATAACACCCCCTGTTCATATGCAAGTGCATTTTCTCTTAAGCACTGAATTTTGTCAGTTTGTATTGCATTTTTGTTAGTTTGGATATGTCTGTCTTTGAAATTTCTTAGTTACTAGTGATGCCAGAAATTAAAAAAAAATATGCTACTTTGGTTTTCTTTGTGTGAGGTGTCTACTCGTACTGAGAGTTTTTATCTGTTTAAACCTGTTTAGAATTCTTCCCTTCATGTTTCTGTCACCGCATATACTATATTTTCCCCAGACATGTCTGTTACAATATTTTTTTTCCTTATATTTTTCTGGGGCTTGCCTTTTAAGATTCTCTTTCACACACGTGAAAGGACTTTGGAAGACTATGTAGTAACCAGAGCCGTGCCTCCCACGCTTAGGCCCCATCAGTTAGGTCTGTGTTTTATAATAGGGCCCTTGGGTCAGAGGTCCAGTCCAGGCATCTGGAGAGGCCGTCTGCATTTTTGCTTTGGATTGTCTTGGGTCTTCATGGTCTTGTCTTTTATAGCTGGACACAGAGTACAGGAAGAAGTGGGATGCCCTAGTGATCAAGCTGGAGGTGATCGAGAGGGACGTGGTCAGTGGTTCTGAGGTTCTTCACTGGGTAACCCATTTTCCTGTGAGTATTTTCCTTCTGGTTTTACTTCTGTCAAATCTGCAGGGTGCCAAGTGCTAATCCTGCCCCTCCTTTCTTTAGTACCCAATGTACTCTCGGGATTACGTGTATGTTCGGCGATACAGTGTGGATCAGGAGAACAATGTGATGGTGTTGGTGTCACGGTATGTATGGCTGCCGTGGCCCTTGGCGAGTTCTTCAGCCAGGAGTGTTGGTTGTATAGACCTGTAAGCCTACCCTTAGTGCCCTGGCGAGTCTCCTGCAGGCTTACCAGGGACAGCCAGTGTCCTGCCCTCCCAGCTGAAAGAGGAGGGGCTGTGACTAGCTAGGAAGATTGAAGGGATGCAAGCTTTTAATTAATCATTTCTTCAGTTCCTTACTGTTGGTAATTAAAGGGGAAGAGAGTTGATTTGACATGGCCTGGTGAGCTGCATGTTGTTTGTTTCAGGCTCCTCAGGGCCTGTCCTTGGCTGCGCTCCCTGGGGTCTGTGGATAGGCGTCACTGACCTGTTTTCCCTCGCTCCCCCTCCAGTGCTGTGCAGCACCCCAGCGTGCCGGAGTCTCCAGAGTTCGTCAGGGTCAGATCCTATGAATCCCAGATGGTCATCCGCCCCCACAAGTCATTCGATGAGGTGAGTTTCACTTTGACCAAGAGACCCTGCGTCATGGCTTTGGGATGTTCTCGAGGAGTGCCTAGAGTCTGCACTGGGGGTAGGGGCTGAGTGAGTTGTTGCGGGCAGTGGTTCTCAGACCTGGCATCTGTCACATTGGCTGGAGGCTTCCTGTTTTTTTTTCTCCCAGGGATTGAACTCAGGGGCCCTTAATCACTGAGCCACATCCCCAGGTCTTTTTATTTTTTATTTTGAGACAGGGTTTGTGAGTTGCAGAGACTGCCTTTGAATTTGTGGTCTTCTGTCTCAGCCTCCTGAGTGGCTGGGATTACAGGCCAGCTGGAGACATTTTTTTCTTTTGGAACCTGGATTGAACCCAGGGGTGGGGGTGCTTAACCACTGAGTCACATCCCCAGCCCCCTTTAAATTTTATTTATATGCAGTGCTAAGAATCAAACCCAGGGTCTCATACATGCTAGGCAAGTGTTCTACCACTGAGCCACAACCCCAGCCCCCTATATTTCTGCATTTCTTTTTTTTTTTTTTTTCTGCATTTCATGTAGAGACAGAGTCTCACTGAGTTGCTCACTAAGTTACTGAGGCTGGCTTTGAACTCGTGATCCTCCTGCCTCAGCCTCCCCAGCCACTGGGATTCCAGGATGTGCCACCATGCCTGGACCAGCTGGAGCTTTTAAAATACATTGCTGGGGGATGGGGATGTGGCTCAGTGGTAGAGCGCTTGCCAGGCATTCACAAGGCCCTAGGTTCAATTCCAGGCACCACAAAAAAATAAAATAAAATACATTGCTGGGCCCTAGCCTCAGACCTGATTCAGCAGGTCCGAGGTGTGGCTTGAAAATTCACTTTTTTTTTTTTTTAAATTTGGCTTTATAAACAAGAGATTCATTTCTCATAGTTCTAGAGCCTGGGAAATCCAAGATCAAGGCACCAACAGATCCAGTGTCTGGTGGGAGCCCATTGGTAATTTACATTTTTGAGAAGTTCTTAGGTGAGTCTCAGGCTGTTTGTCTGGGGACCATATTTTGGGACCCCTTGCTATAGGGCAGTATACCTGGAAAATCCCTAAAGACAGAGTAGTGATGACATGTGGCTCCTGGCAGCTTTTGTCAGGGCCAAGAGCGAGTCTTCTGAAAGCATTTGACACTGTGGGCAAAACACACACGCCCTTCTGGATTTCTCCTTTCTTATCTGTAAAACAGAGATTTAGACTATTGCTCACTGTCTCTCTTTACAATTCTGTAACATTTATCAGGAAAGAATATTTTCTTTAGCTTAGTGAGTTCCCTTCCCACAAAAAAACAAACAAACAAACAAAAAAAAAAAAAAACTTAATCTGTTGAGTGTACCTATTAGTGACAGTGGTTCTGTTTTTAGTTCTGTTTTACTTCATAATGGCTTTGTGTCTCCCTGTTGCTTTGTGTGGTTTAGAGGGCATGGACTATTCATCAAGTTGTTTATTATTTTTATTTTAAAAAATTATTCAAATTTGTTACATATGATAGCAGAATGCATTTCAATTCATATTACACATATATAGCACAATTTTTCATGTCTGTGGTTGTACACAATGTAGAGTCACACCATTCATGTCTTTATACATGTACTTAGAGTAATAATGTCCGTCTCATTCCACTGCTTTTCCTACCCCCATGCCCCCTCCCTTGCCCTCCCTCCCCTTTGCCCTATCTAGAGTTCGTCTAATCTTCCCATGTCCCCCTCCCAATCCCTGTTACAAATCAGCATCCTTATATCAGAGAAAACATCAGCATTTGGTTTGGGGGATTGCTTGACTTCACTTAGCATTATATTCTCCAACTCCATCCATTTACCTGGAAATGCCATGATTTTATTCTCTTTTAATGCTGAGTAATATTCCATTGTGTGTATATTTACCAAGTTGTTCTATTTATACCACCTGCAGTAGGCCTTTGGCTATGACAGATGGTGGCTGACCTCAGTCAATACGTTTGTTTTTTCCTGGGGGATCTATGTGTTTACCTCTATACTATTTATAGAGTGGTATTCTCCCACAGATCACCACCCATTAGTGGGAGACATAATTAATTTAGGGGATTATGATCAATTTTTAAAAAAGAAAAAGTAGAAAATGAGTGTTAGCATATTTTATGGAACTTGTCTAGTTACCCAAGTATGTATGAGTTTGTGCATGAGACACAGAACGAGTTGTAGTTAAAAATATTTGAAAGTTACTTTCTTTAGAAGCGGTGAGGCTGCTGTTGATGGCTAGTTACCCTTAGGACAGGGAGACTGGCTCGGCTGGGAACCATGTGGGGAGGAGATCTGCACCTTGCTTTATTCCTTTTAAATTGCTTTTGAAATTTGAATCATGACTTTGTGCTGTGTGGGGGAAAAAAAAAAAAAGAGGCTTGAGTTCCAGCATTACTGCCTTTAGAAATGATGGCTGCAAAATAGCTGAGGCAGAGTTGGCACGTGGCACAGTGTGGCCTCCAGTAGGCACCCAGTAAATATTCTAGCTGCATTGGGAGAATAGTGCGAATTATCGTGTGTGTGTGTGTGTGTGTGTGTGTGCGCGCGCGCGCACACATAGTGCTGGAGGTTGAACCCGGGCCCCTCTACTACTTAGTTACATTCCCAGCACTTTTCTTAGTGTAGTTTTTAATTTTTAATTTTGAAACAAGTCTTACTGAGTTCTTGAGGCTGGCCTGGAATTTGAATCCTCCTGCCTCTGCCTTCCTAGTAGCTGGGATTACAGGCAGGTGCTGCTGTACCTGGCTTGAGTCAATTTTGGATGGGGGGAGGGGTACTGGCAATTGAACTCGGGGGCACTTGACCACTGAGCCACATCCCCAGCCCTAATTTGTAGTTTTAAAAAAGAAAAAGTAGAGATGGAGCTTCACCGGATTGCTTAGTGCCTTGCTTTTTTTTTGCTGAGGCTGGCTTTGAACTCGTGATCCTCCTGCCTCAGATTCTCCTGCCTCAGATCCTCCTCCCTCAGATCCTCCTGCCTCAACCTCCCAAGCCGCTGGGATTACAGGCGTGTACCACTGCACCTGGCTTGAGTTGATCTTTGTAAAAATGGCAGATGATAGTAGAGGAGGCTAGGAGGGGCACTGGAGACAGAGACATGAATCGAGCAAAGACAGTGATAGAAATGAGCCCTTGTGTGCTCAGAGGCCGGGGAGCATGGGTTGACCACAGGTATCGGTAAGTCAGTGGGCATTTGGAAACCAGGCAGCTGAAGTGGCTTTGCACATGGAAAGTAGGTCCTTTGGCCAAGGTTGGACATTTTGTTTGTCTTATATTTTAAATTTTTTAAAATATTTTTTTAGTTGTAGATGGACACAGGCCTTATTTATTTGTTTTTATGTGGTGCAGAGGATCGAACCCAATGCCTTACATGTGTCAGGCAAGTGCTCTTCCACTGAGCCACAACCCAGCCCCTTGTCTTACTTTTTGTAACGGAAAATTGGAAGTGCGTAACACACATCCTATGTACCTGTCCCCAACTTCCACAGTTACCAGCTCATGGCCAGACTTGTTGGTTTGTTTTTTCCCTTCACTGTGGGGATTGACTGCTGGGCAAGTGCTGTACCACTGAGCTCCACCCCACTCCCAGACTATAACCTTCCTATGTCCTTTTCTACTCCGTTAGTTATTTTGAAGCACATTCTAAATTTATTATTAGAAGAGCCTAATTCTTTTGTGTGTGTGTGTGTGTGTGTGTGTGTGCACGCGCGCGCGCGCGCGTGTGGTGCTAGGGAGTGAACCCAGGGCCTCGTGCATGCAAGGCAAGCACTCTACCAACTCAGCTATATCCCCAGCCCGAGCCTAATTCTTGTGTAGATATTTTGGTAATTTCAAAAAGGGATTTTTTTTTCCATTTTTTTAAATTTCAAAAAGGGATTTTTGAAAACATAACTTGTGTCATAATCATGCATAAAACAATTGACAGAAATCCCTAATACCAAACCATTTTAAGTCTAAATCAGTGTTTAAATTTTCCTGATTGTGAACTATTTTGCTATTGGAATCAGAATTTGAATAAGATCAGGTGTTGACATTTGTCCCTGCTGCCTTTTGTGTCTCTTTATATCAGTTAGATCGTCTTTCCTGGATACTGGTAATTAGGTCTGGAGGCTTGAGCAGATTCAGGTTGGTAGGTTATTTTGGGCAGGATCATTTTAATTGGGAGGCAGATAATGTCTGCTTTGCCATTTCTTTGTGAACCTGTAAGTTGTTAATGATTATCCATTGTGTCATTAGAGGTTACTGAATACTGATATTGTAGTTCTTTCCTACTTCCTTTCTTTATTGGGTGGAATACTTCATAGGCATAGTTCCTCATTAATTGCTTGGTTTCCTATAGTTCACATAGGAAAGGGAGATAGGAGAAATACTTGACTTGTTTTCTTTATTTATTAGTTTTCAAAATAAAACAAGTTTGTTCTGTCAATTAGAAATCCTCAAAGACAAGGTTCTGTTTCTTTTTTTTTTTAATTTTTATTTTATTATTTAGTTTTAAGTAGACGCAATATCTTTATTTTGTATTTATGTGGATCTAACCTAGTGCCTCAAGCATGCTAGGCGAGAACTCTACCACAGAGCCACAATCCCAGCCCTCTGTTTCTTAAGGAAGTATCATTTTTGAAACACAAATTTAAATGTACTAGGTTAGTTTTTATACATTAGTTATTCTTACTGATGATCATATTAATGATCTTATTAATCCTGGTTTTGGGTAATGGGGGCTTCTTGTTGGCTTCAGGACCCTAGGAGCTTTCTAGTGTTAAAAGATGTTCCCGGATCATGTTTTATATTTTTAGCTCTAAACCTAGAAATTAGAGTTCTGGTTCCTTTAGTGGAAAATGGCCTTTTAATACCACAGCTTGGCTGTAAGGAGTGCTCACAGCTGCAGGGTCATTTATTGGTTTTAGGCCATTTTATTTGTTTGTATTTTATTTAGAGACAGGGTCTCACTGAGTTGCTTAGTGCCTTGCTTTTGCTGAGGCTGGCTTTGTACTTGTGATCCTTGGGCCTCCTCCTCTGGAGCTGCTGGGATTACAGTCATGCGCCACAGTGCCTGCCTCCCCAGCTCTTTTTATTTTAAGACAGGGTCTTGCTGAGTTGCCTAGGCTTACCTTGAACTTGGGATCTTCCTGCCTCAACCTTCTGAGTAGCTGGGATCACAAGCGTGCATCACAGCCCCCAGAGACTCCCCCACAGGTTCTTTATTTACTTTGGATTTTTAGTATTGCTCTGAAAATTTTAGTTTTAATAAATGAAATATTTGTGTTCAAAGTCAGACTCTATAAATAATAAGCAAAGTGATTTAGATTTCCCCCATTCCCCCACCCCCACCCCGTTCTTCCTTCCCCACAGTAACCATGGCATTTTTGGCTTCATTTGGATAATGTCAGCAGCAGTGGAAGAAAGTCCAGGTCTCTTGACGTCCCCATCCAAATGTTTTGTGGGTGGAATAATTTGAAGTCTTATGCTTGTGTTGATTCATGCTGTCCCCTCGCCAGCCCTTGTGGGGGCTTCTGTCGCTGTTCCTGTTTACAGCCTTTGCCTCCCTTCCCTCTGCACTGCAGTGTCTTTTCAGCACCTTTCTCTGAGTCAGAGACTGGAGCGGATCGTTTCCTCTGCAGCACCTCGCACACGGCCAGACGTATAGCAGACAAAGTACAGATGGAAAAGTGCTCTCTTTTACTCCTTCAGGTGGAATGTAATCTGTCTAGGCTTCTCAGGGTCAGACACTTCAGATTTTCTTAATAATTGCACGTCCTTTGCTGTATTAGTGTGAAGGCTGAGCTAGAGAGACAGTGGGTGTGTGATTTCAGTGGTCCGAATTCTCAGTTTTCTCACTGAGCAGGAGGGTGACGTTGGGCAACATTACTTTAAGCTTTTTTTGCTTGATTTCCTCATGTAAAATGGGGGATAGTTGAACCTACAATGTAGGATTGTTGAGAGAAATTGCAGCAGTTCCTGGCCCACAGTAAGTTATTGTATAGTTGTTTGCTATTGTTACTAGTAGGAGGTGCAGGTGAAGATGAAGGTCTTGAAGCTGAAACATAGCCCTGTATTTGAAGAACTCATAGGACTCAGCATTTAGTTGTTTTCTCAGCTGATTTTATGACAATGATGTAATAAGTCTGCACAGACGGTGATGACAGAGACAAGAATGGTCTGCGGACTCCGAGGCCTCCTTCTCCAGCAGGGAGTGCAGGAGTGTGTGCGCCCTGCTTCTGTGTGGGAAGGCCCTGCGGAGCTCAGCATCCATAGGTTTTATTGGGAGCTGGTCTCATGGCACCCTCTACTTAGTGAGTACCATCATTCCAGACCCCCAGGAAGAAAACCTGCTTGGCATAAGTCACAACGGTTTGCATTGTCTGAGCACAGGGAGCCCCCTTACCAATGGGACTAGGACACCCTAGGAGCCATGCTTGCTAGAGGTCACCCTGTAGGCAGGCCTTGCTGTGAACAGTTGGTCTCAGGCATCAGGTGAGTCTGTTCTTCACAGGTTAAAATGGTGGCACTCCTTACTCCCGAATGGGCATGGCTGTCGGTGATGCTGGGTGTGGAGGCTGTGGTGTGTGCTCAGGTACCCTCATCTTTGCCCTGTTTCTTTTCCAGAATGGCTTTGACTACTTGCTGACATACAGTGACAATCCCCAGACTGTGTTTCCTCGCTACTGTGTTAGCTGGATGGTTTCCAGCGGTGAGTGGAGATGTGTGTCAGGGCTGGGAACTGGGGTGAACATTTTGTTTTTCTCTGTCTTCTTAATGGCAGCACTGAATCTCTGTAATCCCTGCTACAGAGATTCAGTGCCCTTCCCAGTTCATTCTGGTCTCCAGGTGGGATTGTAAGAATGAGAATTATAGGGTCCCAGAAAGGAACTTGTACCCAGAGGAGACTTTTTATTTTAATTTTTTTTAGTACTGGGGATTGAACCCAGGGGCACTTAATCAGTGAGCCACAATTACAACCTTTTTTTTTTTTTTTTAAATGAGACAGGATCTCACTAAGTTGCTGAGACTAGCTTTGAACTTGGAATTCTCCTGCCTCAGCTTCTGGAGTTGCTAGGATTGAAGGCATGTGCCACTGCACCTGGCCAGAGGAGAGTTTCTAAAACATATGCTTCAATGTCTTAAATATAGACTGTGTACTTTAATGTGTTTAATTTTTTTTCTTTTTTTTTTTTGCAGCTGGGGATTGAACTCAGGGGCACTCAGCCACTGAGCCACATCCCTACCCGCCCTTTTTTTGTATTTTATTTAGAGATGGTCTCACTCAGTTGCTTAGTGCCTTGCTTTTTGCTGAATGGCTTTGAATTTCTGATCCTCCTGCCTCAGCCTCCTGAGCCGCTGGGATTGCAGGCATGCACCACCACACCAGGCTTAAATTTTTTCTTCAGTAGTGTTGAAAACTCTTAAGATCTGGCTTAGAAAATATGATTGTGGGCAGTCACCTAGGGAAAGGGCCACCACCCATGTAAGAGATGCTGCACATCGCAGCTGTAATTTCACCTTCCCCTTCTAACGTCGTGTCTCAGAAAGCATCCTCGTGATTGTTTTCTACAGGCATTTGCTTATTCCTTGGGGGAAATGGAGAGAAGATTGAGTGTTTCTGTTTGACATTTATCTAAGTTAAATTTGCAGTTATTTTGACATGCCACTGATGTGTATTTTAATCACCTCAAAGAGCCTTTTGGGATTTCAGTGGCCTGATCACTGCCCCTTCTGCAAGGATCGTAGGTTGTGGGTGTTTTTGCAGTCCATGCAGAGGGAACACCTTCTGGCGGCAGCTGTCACTTGTAGTTTGCCACTCAGGCTGCCTTGGTATGAGGAAGAGCAGCTCCCCACCACCAAAGAGGGGGCCGTGCAGCTTTGAATCTTCTGTTGATTTCTGGTCATCTTAACTAGACCCCCGTCTCCCCCAGGCATGCCGGATTTCCTGGAGAAGCTGCACACAGCCACTCTGAAAGCCAAGAACATGGAAATCAAAGTGAAGGACTATATCCCGGCAAAACCTCTGGAGATGAGCAGTGAGGCCAAGGCCACCGCCCAGTCATCGGAGCGGAAGAATGAGGGCAGTTGTAGCCCTGCTAGGATCGAGTATGCCTAAAGGGCCTTAGGAGAAGACGGGACCGGTCCTTCCAGCCCTGTCTTTGTCCCTCCCTCTGCCACAGAATGGGAAAAAGCCGTGGAGGCATGTACGTAACCATCAGTGCAAGATCATTCAAGGACTAGTGTCTGATTTCCTTCCGAGCCCTGTGCTGCTCTTGATCAGAGAGGAAGCGGGATCCATGGAGGCACTGCCGTGTTCTCAGGCTGACCAGTTTGAAATTCAGTATTTGACTGAGCTAATCTGGAACAAGCCTCTCACCTCAGGTTGGAAGTGGACGACTCCGTTGGCTTCCCCTGAATGGTTCCTTGCTGACATTCCAGATCCCACCATGGGTTTTGCAGTGCTGGAATTTCCTCCAGTTCTGAAGGTCACCTGGAAAGTTTGGGTGGCCAGTTATTTCTTCAGGAGGGTCACTGGGAGTGCTCTTGGTAACAGTCTTGGTGTGAATGGGTGTAAACAGCTCTTGGCCGTGTTAAGTGCCTTGTCCTCACCTTGCTTTTATCTTTAGGAGCATGAAGTTTGTACCAAGAAATTCTCTCCCTGCAAAATACTTCCCTTGGCTCACTCACCTGACCCCAGACATTTTCATGGGAACTGGCCAGCTCCATGCTCGTGCGCTGTAGTCACCAAATCCTTTCCTCTTCCCAGCCTTCGCTGGGAGCACTGGAGATTAGTTTCTGTATCATCAGTGTTTTGACAGGGTCAGTAGAAAGGCTCAAACATCACATTTAAATTTATTTTATTTTTTTTTAACTTTGTGTCAAAAAGGAGTTGGGGGTGTTTTCTCCATAGTAACACAGTATAGAAAACAGTTCTTTGGTTCAGGCATTATTTTCCTCACCTGAGGTTTGACTTGTCCTCCTCAGAAGGCAGAGGAGGGGGGCTGGGCCGCCCCCTTGGAGTGCTCAGCACTTAGACCAGCTGCTGTCTAGACAAGCAGATGTAATCTTGTCCCAGATACTAATATGATAGGGATGTGGTGTATGTGACCCTCTTGTTCCTCTAAAAAGTTTTTCCTCCTCTCTCGAGAGCTGAAATGAAGGCAAACCATACCATTTAATAAGGTCACAGCCACATGGTATCTGCTTGGTCTCGGTTTTGCCAATGGTCCTGTCACAGTGTGTTGGGAGAATAGGGATCAAATTTTTTAAATCCTCCTCCCTTCTTTCTTTTCTGGAGTTCAAATGGCTGAATTTTTACCTTTTTTCCTGCTTGCTACCCTGTTGTGTTGGAAAGGGACTCTAAACCTGGAACTAACCTAAACCCCTCCTGACCTTCTTGTTGCCTGTCCAGTTTTGTGCCAAGGAAGTAACTGTCCCCGTTCATGTCTCCTGAGTCACTGGCAGAGCAGAGAGGTCCTGGGTGGTCCCAGCATCTTTGCGTTGAGGATTTCTTTCCTTCCCCAGAGGAGCCAGGGAAGAGTCCCTGGGTTATTAACGTCCGAACTTAGTGCCTGCCAGTGTGAGTGGGTGTGTGCGAGAGAGCGTACCTGCGTGTGTGTGCACAGGTGCTAAGCAGCTGTGGTTGCCCCATATTCTGATTTAACAGCAGTTTGACTCTGTAGAGTTACTTATGTCATTGTAATGAATTCACTCCTAACTGTGACATTTTTATCAAATGTGTGAATAAATACATAAAGATTGGTACAAAGGAGTGTTTGTCTCTGAATGGACTGTGGCAGGAAAGCCTCCATGTTGGGCTTGTCCTTCTTTCCACATCACAGAGCTGTGAACTGACCCCAGGAGCTGACCTGGGAAGCAGCAGGGCTTAGTCTTAACTGTCCGGTTGTGGCTGGCTACACCTGCCCTTTGCAGGTGATCAGCCTAGCAGTTGAGCACAGCCTCCTCTGCCATGTCGTGTGCTGGGGCTTTGCAGAGGGTGGAACTCTTAAGTGCGAGGCTGAGTTGAGGACAGTCCAGGAACTTCAGTGGAGGCCTGCTGGAAAGTGGGTTGGCATGTAGGCAGCTGGTTCTGCCAGAACCCAGCTTTGTTCCAGGAGGATCAATATGTTTTTATTTATTTATTTTTAGTCATACATGACAGCAGAATGAATTTTGACATGTAATACATACATTGAATATACATACATCAATCATATTGTCAATTCTATTCTGCTACCCTTCCTATCCTCCAGGAGGATCAATATGTTTTTGAAAGCTTTGAGCACAGCATGAATTTGGGGTTTATGTGTGTTTCTCCCATGGGAAAATCCAGGAGGACAGGCACAAGCATCCCACCTGTCTGGCTAGAGCTGCGGCTGCGCAGGCACAAATGAGGCACATGCTCCACCCACGTCTCACCCCCCTGGGGTTGCACAGAGAACCCTGTGGCCTCATCTCACAATTGCAAGCTGAAGTTCTCCCGTGGTCACCTGGCCCTGGCCCTCACAACTTCTTGTCCTCGCTGCTTTGAGGCACCTTTGCATTTTTCCTTTCTTTCCCTTTATCCCTCCTCTTCTGTTTTCTTGCACAGTGGCAGGTGGGAGCTGGGTGGCAGGCTGAGACCTTCTGCAAACAACCTGCAAGTTCCTTTCAAGGCGAATGCTTTATTTGTATATTTTATTTATTATAAGCCCTAGAGGTTTCTTTTTCTTTTTCTTCTTCTTCTTCTTTTTTTTTTTTGGTACTGGGATTAAGTCCAGGGGTGCTTAACCACTGAGACAAACCCCCAGCCCTTTTTTATATTTTATGTAGAGACAGGGTCTGGCTGAGTTGCTGGCGCCTCACTTTTGCTGGGGCTGGCTTTGAACTTGGGATCCTCTGGTCTCAGTCTCCTGAGCCATTGGGATCACATGCATCCGCCAACCCTCCTGGCTCCTATAGGTTTTTTATGTGGTCTTGCATAGTGCAGGGACTTGGGGACATGCTCTCATCTACTCCCACAAGCTGTGAGCACTGGCCAGCCCTGTTGTGTGGAAGAGGAAATGACATCAGAGGCTTAAGCAATTTTCTTGCTGCTTGTGCCTGACAGGAATCTGGTGAGGCTTTTCTAGCCAGTGTGGCTGTACCCAGCATGTGCTTCACTGAGCAGCTGTGAATGGAACATTAACATGAAGTTTCTACTTTGAAAAGTTTCATATATTAAAGGTTGACAGTTTTCAAAACTACCTCTACCACCTGTACCTTTATCTGTACCTTTAGTGGTTCAGGTCGTGGTGTGTGTGCCTCTTCTTTTCACAATCATTTGAAAATAACTTGCAAACAAAATATATTCCACTCTGTAACACTTGAACATGCTTTTTAAAAAATTTTTTTTAGTTGTCCATAGACCTTTATTTTATTTATTAATGTGGTGCTGAGAATCTAACCCAGTGCCTCCCACATGCTAGGCAAGTGCTCTACCACTGAGCTATATCCAGCCCCTTGAGCATGCTTTTTATAAGGATGTTAACAGTCCTATTAGCATATGTGAGATAATTTACAGTGTTATAATATTTAATAATGCAATTTGTATTAAAATTTACCCAGTTGCTTCCCAAATGACTTTTGCAGTCCCCTCAATCCTCACTGCAGTGCAGTTTCTGATTGCATTTGTCCCTTACCATCTAGTTGCCTGTCCTTTGTAATGTCACTGCCCCTGTGCTTTATACAAAACAATGTCATGGAGCAGTTCTCAAACTTGATTGCAAACCCCAAAGCCTGGGCCACACCGCAGGTGCCTGCACCTGACGTGGAAGTGTTGCATGTTGAAGTGTTGCATGTTGAAGTAACCGTAGACAAGCAGGCTGCAGCCTGCAGGCTTCCATTATTGACTCAGGGAGCTCAGACTCAGCCACTAATGGCTGTCATTTCTGAGCACTTGGTGTGCCAGACACCAGACACTGCTGCATGCTCTCATCTACTCCCACAAGCTGTGAGCACTGGCCAGCCCTGTTGTGTGGAAGAGGAAATGACATCAGAGGCTTAAGCAATTTTCTTGCTCAAGGTCACACAGGGTGTGATGTCAGAGCCGGATGCCGACCCAGCTTTGACCGGCAGAGTCCAGTCAGTAAGGCTTAAACAGGCTCATGTCTCACAAACACAGTGCTAGGCCCCTGCCCTGGGCGCTGACTTGTTTTGGAGCCTGGCTCAGAGGCTCCCCTTTGGTGTCAGGTTCTATGTGGCTCATGCCACGCCCCCTCAGGGCTCAGCTCTGTTTCACCTGTGCTGTTCCCGTGAGTACTTGAATCATCAGTGCCATTTTCCTCCTGAAAACTCAGGATGTACACCATTCCCAGTAACAGCTTAACATAAAGTTATCTGGGGAGTCTTGGGGACATCGTGAAATTAAATTTTCTAAAAGTACTCAACTTCAGGATGTATTTGATCAGTCTCCACACCCAGTACGGTAGGGCAGAAGTCTAAAAATGCTCTTCATAAAATCTGAGGTCTATTTCTAGTAAATACCACTTAAAAGTCTCTTAAAAATCGAACAGTAGTGTGTGGATGAAAGTGACCTAATGCGAAACGTTTCCACAAACCTCCATAAGAGCTTGATGTAGCATCACTCAGATAGGTTTTGGGCTGTGCACTGTCACCCACACAGGCACTAAGGAATTTTTTCAGACATCATAAATGTCTTTTCTTGTGGCAGGGGTCCACCTTCTTTGAATAGAGCCCTTGCGGCCCTGCCACTGCATCTGACTTTTAAGATGGACCTGTATCTTTCTCTTCCTCTCTCCCTGCTCCTCCCTAACCTCACCAGTCTCAGGGGACAGGCTTCCATTATTGACTCAGGGAGCTCAGACTCAGCCACTAATGGCTGTCATTTCTGAGCACTTGGAGTGCCAGACACCAGACACTGCTGCATGCTCTCATCTACTCCCTTTCTTCTCCATTCTGGGCAGAGCTATCTGTCCCTGAGCACACACCCACCATAAGAACAAAGTCATCCAGACTTCGGGGATGGCACCAGAAGGTCTCAGAAATGACTGTCTCCCAAACTAACAAGTGAATTACCATTGCAACAGAGTTGTAATGCAACACGTGGAAGGTGGCCTTTGAGACCTCTTTAAAAGCCCCCTGTTCCCCCTGCTGGGCAGAATCACAGCCTCTGGGAGCGTTTCTCCTTTGGTAGCAAAGCAGTAAACTTCCTTTTTCTCAAAACTGTGCCCTAGTTATTGGATTGACATCAGGGACAAGGACCAACCTTTCAGCAACATGTTGATTGTGTACTTTTTTTTTTTTTTTTGGTACTGGATATTGAACCTAGGGGTGCTTAACCACTGAGCCACATCCTTTTTATTTTTAGAGACAGGGTCTCACTCAGTTACTTAGGGCCTTGCTAAGTTGCTGAGGCTGGCTTTGAACTTGTGATCCTCCTGCCTCAGCCTCCAAAGCCAGTGGAATTATAGGTGTGCTCCATTGTGGTTCATCTTTACTTTTTTGTTTTTGTGGTGCTGAGGATTGCGAGGCAAGCACTCTACCAACTGAGCTATATCCCCAGCCCTTGATTATCTACTTTTAAAAAGCATAACCCCAGCTAAAGAGGCAGGGCAGAAGCGTGATAGAAATATTGGGTGTTTTCACAGTGCATTTTTTCCTCTTAGCTGTGCATGAGGATTATGTTCAGCCTCAAGGATAGAAACTGAACATGGCTTGGACAAGCCCACTGTTGGTTGCCTCCTCTGAATGCAGCCAGTCTGTGGCTGACATGGGAGACCATGGGCCTCCCCCAAAACTTGACTAGTAAGTAGCTTGCTGTTGCCTGGAAGCCTGGTAACACAGGTAACGCAGTTCATAGGTTGTATGTGGCATCTATGGTGAAACGTGACCACAAGCTGCAAAAGATCACTTTTTTTTTTTTTTTTTAACTTTGTTAGGCAGTTTCCCGGAGAGAAACAGTGCTCATGGTGTGAGGGTGTTTGAGGCAGATGCAGCACAGAGCCCGCCCTGGCACGACAGAAGGTGGCTATGGAGTCACCACAGCAGACAGCATGCACCACAGCTAATTCTATGAGGTTGTGATTTAATACTGCATCTTTACCCTCACTTACATTTCTGTCTACTGCCATTTGTGGTCTGTCAGTTTTGAGGTAATTTTTTATAAATTTTAATTTTCTTACTTTCTCTTGATTGTATTTCTGGACCCACTGTAGTTTGTCGATGCCCTTCGTAAAATGTGAACCTCTTTGTTCCCTGGAAGGTGGGCACCTGAGGGGGCTGGGCTCTCACTGATCTCTGTGTTCTCAGTGCCTCAGTGGGGCTGCTCCAGCCAGGCGCAGTGGCACACGCCTGTACTCCCAGAAGCTCGGGAGGCTGAGACAGGAGGATCTCTAGTTCAAAGCCAGCCTCAGCAATGGCGAGGTGCTAAGCAATTCAGTAAGACCTGTCTCTAAATTAAAAAATACAAAATAGGGCTGGGGTTGTGGCTCAACCCTACGGAGGGGCTGCTTCACTACTAGCCATTATGCCTGTATTCCATGTGGAGGTGAACAAAGGGAGAGTAGAAGTCCCCTCCTCTGAGGGACACTTCCCAAATTGCGCACCATTTCTGCACACTGTCTAATGGCCAGGATTGAGTCAACATACCACCCGGCCACTAGAAAATATTCTGAATTTTGAACAAGATATGTACAACTAAAATTCAAATGTGATTTTGCAGAGGAAGGAGTGGATGGAAATGGGGACAACTGGCAGGCTTTGCCAAGGTACAGATAGAATTTCAAATGCA